ATTAAGTTGCAGGAGTCTGAAATACTAAAACTGAACTGGACAACAGGTTACACCTTGGTTCTGATCCTTTTCTCAGAATTTGCAAAAAGCTTTCAATTCCCTTTAGAGGAAAGGTGTTGCGGTTACAGAAGATGTGATTTACTCACTTAATTTTCAGTATTAGCTTCCTTGGGAGGCACTCCTCCACTAAGTGATGGGTATCTCTCGGTTGTTTTCAAATCCTCTGTTCCTAAACATTGATGCTATTAATTACGGTTTTAGATTATAAACAACGCAGTCATCTTGAGCTCATTTCCAGAGACGAGCACTAAACTTCTTCCTTTATTTCTTCAGCCTAAGGACAAGAAAAGTTCACAAAGAATTAAAAGCTTGGAGAATTTTACATTTTGCGGTCTTTACTCTAAGAGCGAAGTGTGAAAAGGAAATCAGTAATTCAGATGGAAAGCTACTTGCTACAAATAATGAACTTAAGTAAATCTTTTCTCTAATTAGCTACTGTATTTCACTAATAGGAGGGAGATTACAAAGGTGGCAGGACTTAAATAAAGAGAACAGGAATTCATCATAAAATGGAAAACTTGCAATCATTTAGATTTGCTTTACTTTTTGAACTCACAATTTCCTGATTGGAAATCACCCATTTCATTGTCTTTTCCTAGTTTTATTGTCTGCCTACACTCACCCTGAGCATCAAGGACTTAATAAACTCTGCATGTTCCTCTGCACTGGAACTACGGATACCTCTCCCACCTCTGCGATCAAATTTTTAAAGGAAATTAGGGAGGTTGTCAAAATAGCTCAGATTTTTGGACTAATTATTTTCCCAAGCAGTTGCCAATACATAATGCTTCAAAGGAAATGAGGGGGTACAAAACCAAACTACAATGTGCAGTCGCATAATAACGTAGTACAGCACAGCCCATAATATGTGAAAGATCTTCCACAGTACTGTCAGGCAATCAATATCTGTCTTGAAAGTGTGAAATGTTGAAGCTTTGATCTTTACGCGAAGAACTCCTTTGGCAGAAGTGGTTACAATCATCCAACTGTAATTTGCCAAGAATATGCAAGAGGATGTGCCTGCAAAATAGTACGTATGGGGAGTTCCAGCTGAGCCCAGAGAAGAAATTTTTGCCCCTATGAAATAAATTCACTTCCCTGAAATTTGTACTGATGTTCTGGTAATGGCTAATTTTAAGTCACAGGTAATTCATAGCTAATGGTGCCTTTGTAATGCTGCAAATGTTGATGTAAGTCCCAAGAACCACAGGAAAAATCCAATAATTGTAATCTTTTTGTCTAGGTCGGTCTCTTAGATAGACAAAAAATACTTGCCCTACTGGTAGACTTCTATGACAGAAGCCCGGTGATTGCGAAGAGGGGATTCTGTAACCCAAGAGAGTGTAAGTATGTGGGAGGTTTCAACTGTGGTTAAATCATTGGGAGGTCACATGAGGTTGTATAGTTAATATAGGTTTATATAAGTGTTACCAGAAATGGACAGAGCCTAAAAAAGGACCCAAATGAATGCTGTGACCTATACACCGTAATTTGCAAACATGTTTTGCAAACTGTGATGCAATGTTCAGAAATACTTCAGCATCCAAAACTCTTCCTTCCTACAAAATTCTGAAGCGCTTTTTGGGAGTAGGATTAAAGACAGACTGTAACAATTGTTCTTTCTTACTGGGCAATATTAGAATTTCATTCTCTGTTTACACTAAAGTGTCTCCAGGAACATGCAAAGATAAAGAAAAACCACAGAGAATCATCTACATGAAAGTAAAATATTTTTAAGATATTGGACATTCATTAATTGCTAAGATCAAACGCAAGGCAAATTACAGCTTTCCTTCTTAGTATGGAGAATTATGAAACATGATATTTATTTCAAAAGAAATCTGGTGTAATCCACAATAACTAGTGCAGTTCTCTGCAGGCAAAACCATTATTCTTTGCCTGCAGAGAACTGCAGGTTCATTTCAGAAAGACAAAACACAAAGTTTTGTGTTTTGGAGGTGCATGTTTGCAGAAGGTACTTTCTGATAGTTTGTATTTTGGAGGGAATATATTTTTTCTTTTCTTTTCTTTTTTTTTTAATTTTCTTATGCAATACTAGAGAGCATAAACCAATGCAAACTATCAACTTACCACTATTTTTTCTATTTTAGGGCCAATAATTGAGCTGCAAGAGATTGAGCTTGCAGATTTATGGGGAGGCCTTGATGACCAGGAAGTTTGTGAGGAACCCAGTGAAAAGTTAGTCTTGTCCCAAACAGAAATTTCTGGGGGAGAGATTTTAGCGTATCAACCTGTAGGTGATAACAGACGACATACATATAGGATGAGAACTAGCGTCAGAGAAGGTCTTTTTGAACAAATGGGCATGAGTGAAGCTGAGAGTGGAAGCATTTCAAAGGAAGAAAACCAAGCAGCAGGATCAAGTGATGCTGAGGTGAGAAAGAAAGGTGAGGACGCTGCGTCAGCGGTGAAAATCACTGATTTTGAAGCTAGTGATTTGGATGGAGATACAATACATAGTGAGAAATCCAGTTTCCTGGAAGACATCAAAACTGAGAGGCAAACTGGGTCTGCAAGTGCTGACAGAGAGGAGGAATCTCTCCCAGGATCAGCCTCTACCGGGTACAGTCTCAGTAGAGATGGAGAACCTGGGTCTGAAAAACAGGTGAAGGAAGAGGAATTTGGGCTGGGTAGAGAGCCTGATACAGAAACAAATAGGGAAGAAGTTTATTGTATCTCAGACAGAGAACCTGCTTCAGAAGGGCAAGTTAGTCAGGAGAAGGACAGTTGGATTGCAGAGACAAGCAACACAATTTCAAGACCAGCACCAGAAGCTACAACCGTGACCTCAGAAGACAGAGCTGTGGCAGGCACGGACATCATTGCTTCAAAACAGGATGCTGCAGTTGCAGAGGTTGTGAAAGAAACTCCTGCAGGAAAAGAGAGTTTTCCTAGGCAGCATGGCAGCCAGTTTGGCCAACAGACAAGCTCAGAGACAAGAGTGCAGGAAGAGGACCTTCAGCAAGACCAAAGTAGAGGTGAAGCATTCTCCTTTACTCTGGCAGACCTTAATTTCAACATACGTATTTGGACTGGTTTAACTATAGGTGTGGTTTTAATCCATTTCGAAACTATTGAATGCATGTGAGTGATTTCTGAACACACAAGACCATAAGCTTTGCTATCTTCTCAGCACAGTGTTTTCTGTCAAGGTTTCAGAGTGTGTTCCTCCGACAGGACGGCCGGTCAGTCACTTTGCTGGTGATCTGTATTCCAGGCACTGAGCAGACACTTTAATTCCAGTAGGGACTTTCTGAAGCAGCAGCATTTTTATAATGAGGAACTTTATGTCCTTGTTTCACTCTGTAATATTGGTATAGCAAGACAGGAGCCTGAGCACGTTAAATCTAGAAATGACTTTTAATAATTTTTAGACTGTGATTGCCCATAGGGAGATACAGTATGGAACCTTTCATTTTAATCTCTCGCAGTGTTTCCAAAGGTCTATCATACTTCTTAATAGCGTACAAAGGCCCGTGTTCGAGGAAGGCTGTGGTCGGGCAGCTGCGTGTTTCCTAACAGGTACTTAAGGACCAACCTCCTCCCTAGCGCTCTGTGAATACACTCTTGCATCTCCCCGTTTAAAACACTGCAAGAACTGGGTCTACATTGCCAGAGCAGTCTAGGGACAGACTTATCATGTAAAGAGCTGTAAAGCTGATGGTACAGCTCACGGGTACCTACAGCTTTCTGTGGTTAACTTCCAGTATGCAGCACTCACCTGTCATTCAGCCAGTCCCTGGATGCGTGCATCCCGCATCGTTTGGGGCACACAGTACTTCCATCTTCAGAGCGAATTCCCACCCTGCTCTCACAGAAACGACAGTGCGATGGTACGATGCTCTTTGAGAGAAAGGAGCATGGAAACAAGAAGTCTGAATATCATTTTGAACCTATCTTGGAAAAGAATTTATCTTATTACTCTTGATAAAGTGGGTATTTGTAGCAGTGCTTAAGAAATGTAACATTCACTAGGTGAACTTCAGGAAGCAGTATTTCCAAACAGCAAAAATAAATAGCTACTGATTTTAGAAACAGAAAGAAGTAGATTTTACATATTAACCAGTCGGGTGCTCAGATCAGTAAGCTCTGGTTCACAGAAGATTTGTTTTTAAAGTTGCAGGTCCAGGACACTTGAATAGAGAGGATTCTCCAGCTGAAGCTAGCCAGGAGTTTGAAGTGCCATGGTCAGGTAACTGCTCATGTCAGCTCTTTTCATCCGCTTTAGAAACTGCAGCTTGGCTATATGTATTTAAAGGCTTTTAGAAAATCTGTATCTTGTGTCTTTTTTAAAAGCTTCTATCATTACAAGGTATATTTTGTCTTTCATCAGGTGACCTTCTGACTTGTGACCTAAGTTGCAGGTATAGCAGCTATGGAGAGAGAATTCCAGAAGACTGGAAGTGTGAGAATGCTAGATTTCCAGGTATTTGGTGTCAAAGCTGTGTGTTCACTTGGGCACATAGTGGCTAGCAGTGTCTGCAGACATGCCAGTACTGCTGTGAGCTGAAAGTTTTGGCAAGAATGCAAACACTAATTCCTGAAGCTGACTTCAAGATAAGAGCAGTGTAGTCTTTGTCTCAGAAGAAATTACTGTGTAACAGTAATTTCAGTTCAGCTGTATTCAGTGATTTGACCTGGTTATATGGCAGCATCCTTGCTAGACTAGAGCATAAATCTGAAGAGATACTATTAGAAAAGTATAAGCAGATTAAAGCCTTTAGTCAGCATGGAGTCAGGCCGTATTCAGCTATAATTTCACTGGATAGGAAGTGCAGGATTCAGGACTGCATTGATAGCTGCCACGTGGCCGGCTTTAGGGCAGCATTTGCCTTCCTGCGGCACGCTGTGCTTTCTGCCTTTCAGACTTACGTCCCATCATGGCAGAGATTCAGAACCGTTGGGCTTCTTGTACTAGGAGTGCCTTTGATGAAAGCTGCCTCAACCTGCCACAGTTTGTACAGCTCATGGAGACATTTGTTTGTGAAGACATTGCTCTGCCTACTGTGAAGAGGCTTATTGCGTTTATCAAAGAAGAATACAAACAGACAGAAGAGGAAAAAATGGAACAACTAGAAAAAGTAAATATTGATAAGTTTTGCTGATCCCATGTCCAAACAAAAAACAAGCAAATGCCTACAGATGCTGACAATGTCAACTTTTAATCGCATGCTGGCAGAGCTATTCACTTGCAGCCTTGCATTCTCTGCTTCTTCAAGAGACCTTTTAGCCCTTTGTTTTCATATGGATCCTCCCTCCCTAGCGCTTAGCTCTAGAAGTGAGGACAGACTCATCCTGTAAGAGGTTGTCTGCCTGTTCTAGAGCCGGACTCAGTGAGACAGCAGGTTCATAGTTAATTGTGAAAGAGCTCAAAACATTCCACTCTGCTTATTCACCTTTATAATAGCCAAGAATCTGATCTCTGACCTACTGCACTGGCATGTGCATATGAGGTTGTGGATGTTTTGGGGAGGATTTTAAAACAAGTGTGTTTGGTTTTGCTGTGTGCATGGCTGTATGTGAATGCGCACATGCTTCTTTGTGTTGAGTTACAAAGTGCTCTTGCCATGTGTTGAAAAAATATATTCCTCTTCAGCGATATCCTCACGCACAGCATCAGGGTGCCCCGTATCATTTCAGAGTACAGATAATATTTCATGGTGGGTCTGTCCATAGTAGCCTCTCTAGCTGCATTTTCCTCAGACCTCTTTCTAGTTTCCCTCTATGTTGCTGACCTAATTTGGATGAGATATTGGATCTGACGGCTCCACTGTCCTCGCGCTGAGCACAACACACACTGCCAGTATTTTGGCCTTTGAGAGAATTCCGCTCCAGCCATTTATTGCTGTACGCTGTGCAAAGATGGAGTTTAAAGGACAAATTGTACATGCATTTGCTTGGAGCCCACACACTTCAGGGCAGCACCAGCAAAATAACAATGTGTGGAAATACAAACTGCCACATCTTTGGGTGTCACTAAGAAGGCTGTGGTTAGTTCATGCTGAGAGGATATCTGTGTTCTGGAAAACTTCCACTTACCTGAGTTGAGCTCAGCTTAGATCCAGCATGGGTTTCATTTGTTCACTGTAAAATAACCCTCTGCAGTGCTGATTCTGCCTGGTAAAGCTGCACTGTTGGCTGTGTTTAGTGTTTCCAAATATCTCCCAGGTTTAATGATTCATCTCCAGGTCTGAGCTGTGTATGCGCAGATTTGGCCCATAGGAACTATGCGGTCAGCATACCACTGCGTTTCCGTCCTTGTGTAGACACAGAGCATCAGTGTCCAGGAGTTACCAAAGACTGACTGTTCCTCTGTTGTAGGTCCATCGCTTCTCTCACTTAGCCCAACGGAAACTGCTCTTGGAGGCACTTTTTGAAAAGTGGGACATCAATGCATCTGGGTTTCTGGACCTGGAAGAGGTGGATGCTGTTCTAAGTGCATTCAGGGAAGGGATGGAAAAAGAGGCCTTGAGGAAGGGTAAGGAAACAGTTCTGCTCGGAGAGAACAATGTCAACACAGTAGGCCTTGAACTACTCGACAACAGTGCTAATGAAGGTGTTGGCAAGCACCAGTCATTTTTCGGTTTTGCAAGCAGTCATAAGCATACAAGGTATGACGTATAAAATGAAAAGGAACAGTTATCCAGACCCACTTGTTAATGCATAGCTCCATCCCCTCTTCCTGTGCAAGAGTCCTCTGCGACAAATTCCCAGAGAGGTAGCCCAATGCTTTCATGAAGTTGTGATGTGTTGAAAAATTATTTTAGCTGTAACACGCAACGTATACTTGTGATATGGCAGTGAGAAACACACGTAAAGCCTGAGGACATGTTTCGCACTTTTAGTCTAGTCTGTCTGTGTTACCCAGCTGTTTTTAAGAGATACACTTTACTGTGCTATCTGCAGGAATGCATCTCATAGGAGAGAACACCAGCTTTCCTTATGGGTCTCAAATAGCCGTTAGTAATCCACACTGTTGCACAGCTCTGATGAATTAGATAGCAACTTTGAGTCTCACTTCTCTGTTGGTTCATTCCTCCGAATAAGGTTAGCAAATGTGGTCCTTGACAGAGTAGACTTGGGCCAGACAGAAGTGCTGCAGGTTCACCTGCACCTGTCTGGCAGCCTCATACATATTAACCTGTGGGCATCAGGCACTCTGAAATACTGTATGAGCAATTAAGAACATATCTGCATGTGTGCTTGGGTGGAGAGGACCGGTTTATTCATCTCCGCACATATCTTCATGTTGCTTGCTCTGCCACACGTTACTGAAAATGGCTCATTTTGGCAACAACCAAAATCTCTTTATTCTTTAGCTCATTTGAGGCAGCTGGTGGGGTGGGGAGCACACCGGCATGCTACAGTTAGTTGTTGCCAGCCTGCACAGCCACAAAAGAAACGGGCAGTTCACAGCTCGCTTGTATTCAAAGTGTGCCAGAACACGCTACAGAAATATGGAAGGACATAGTCCCTTCCATGAAGGGCTCATAAACTAAAGGACAAATAAATAGAAAGATAGCATAGCAAAATCAATACCACCTACAAGGAACATAAAACTGTTTCTAGCAGTTTCAACTCGATCTCTCAAAGACATGGTAGAACAAGCAGCTTTGGGGGAAGGGTTCACAGACATTGCACTCCTCTTGGATGAAAACACAGAGTGCAAAGTGAATAGAATTATTTGATTTTCCTTGTAAGTGAAAAGCGTAATGTTACAGATACAATAGGGAAAATAATTCATTATGCTGTGGCTCAGTAATGAAGGCACTGATCATGCCATGTTCAACTTCATGCGTATTTCTTTCTTCATCTCTTTCTTCAAAGAGAGGAAAAAGTGGGGGTCAAAATCCAAACATTTTTATAGCATCAAAAAATTCTCTATCCTACTTCTGTCCAAAAATCAGAAATTAAGTTAAAAAATACCGAATGTTCTTTAGATGATGGGCAGGATAAGACAGCATTAACTGTCAGCTCCACCATGACTGGTTAGTACTTGCTACTTCTATAGCTAACATCAGTGATAAAATGCCCCCCGACTTCTGTGGGGGACGGAGGGGGCTCGCAGCTCCCATAAACATCCGTGTCTCAGGGAGGCAATCGGGGCAGCTCCCCGCCTGTTCCTCTGCATCCTTAATCAAAGCATTGTCTATTACACTGTTCCTTATAGCCCGTTGTATATATTGATTGCAAAATACTCCCTGCTTAACAGCAAAGTCACCCTTCTACCTATACATTGTTGCTTGCTTAGTTTGCTGGTAGGAAGCGGTCTGACGTATAGC